AGAGAGATATATATGTATATATATATATATATATATATATATATATATATAATACAGAAAGAAGTAGAGCATGCCTTAAGAAAAATGTGTTAAAAGTATACAAAAATTCCTATAAGTTGGGAGAAAAGGCGAAATCCGAAACCAATTATTAACAAAAATAAATTATAACAGGAACCCGTTAAAAAGTTAAAGAAAAATTGGTATGAAAAAATAAACAGCATAAAAGGCTAAATAAAATAAGAAAAAAATGTAAGAAGGACTAACTAAAATTAAACTTAGACAACCAAAAATTATTGTTTTGCCTTTTCTTCATTTTATGCCATCTTTTTTCTTTCTAAATGTGAACGTCTTATATTACTTTTAACTTGATTTTTTTCAATCTTCGTTTTTGTCTATATTTTTTCAGATCTTAACTTCCTATAAAATACTTTTTATTTAAAACTTCAAATACTATTAATACAATGAAAAAAAATGTTGAGAGACTAATCCCAATTAAAAAAATTATTGACACTAAATGTAAACTTTATGAAAAGATAAAAACTAAAAAAATGTTAATGATTTAAAAATGAATTTTTTTATAAGATTAGAAATTAAAATATAATTTTCAAAGTAAAATACACAAGCATTACATGTCATTACTTAACGGTAATACTTTACGGGGAAAAATCTTAACTATTAAGATCGTCAAATTTTTTGTTTGAAGATAAAAAAATAAAATTCAAGAATTAAAAGATTGAAAAATATATTTAATTTGTGAAAATAAATTATCTAAACACTTAAAGTAACACCATGTATGTTGTTGCACACTTTTCATTTCTTATTATTTTCTTTTAATTTATCTCTTTCTTTTGCACACTTATCATTTGTCACTTTTTTTTTTCTTCTCTCCTTTCTTTTTCATCTTTATCCAACCATTTTGTAGATACCATAAAGATAAAAAAAGAGCGAACAACCGAAACAACTAACATGATCAATTGATATAAATAAGTTCTCATGGATTAAATGTATTGAGTCTAGAATTTTATTTTTAATAATCAAAACTTTAATTCCTTCATGAAATAATGAATGTGCATTAATTCATATGCAAACGAAAATCTGTTGTCAGAGCCATCATCTATTTATTTCAAGTTTTCTAGCATGCGAGGTGTTTGATTTGGCAAGGGCAAGCTCCCACTTTTGTGTCAAGTGGCATTATAATATATTATCTCCAGTTTTCTAGCATGGCAAAGGTTTGATCATAAAGGTCACCACTCGCCACCGATCCAATTACAGAGGCATGGGATTGGGAAGATACATTTAACTCACCCACTAGGGACTAGTGTCAAGGCTGTGCATCAAATACTCCATACATACCATACATTAAACCTACATGAAACTTCTTTCTTTTTCTTTCTTTTTCAATATATAAATAACATATTGGCTAATGGGGCAGTTATTTTTATTTTATTTTCTTAATATTACTTGTATTATGTTTACCGTTACCATAGGTTTATATGTTAATATGTTATAATCCCCAAACCTAAAATTTCTTGTAAGTCACCAAGTAATAGATAGAAAAATACATAAGAGTTAATGATATTTGGTACATGCCTAGATTTTGTATACTGCATCTGAAAATCATGTAGATAAAATCTACATAAAATATTTGCTAAACAACAATCTCCTTCTGCCAACCAAAAATAAATTGTAATGACGAAAATTACTATTTTTTTTTTATGATGTTTCCATTGAGATGCTTATCTCCTATTATTTATCTTTATCCAATGGTTTTCCCCATCTTTATCCAATGTTAGCACGATGCTTTGTATGGTGTGCAACTCTGTATGCAATACAACATATCAGTGTCTTAAATTTAACTCACCAGATACCAATTTTTCTTGCCTTCTATTTATTTATCAAGTTATGAAATCTCCGTTTATATTTCTAATTTTCTTTCTTCTTTTGAGGGGGGGTGAGGAGGATTGTCTTTAGCATGCAGCTAGCATTTGTTTACTTTTTAGCCCAAGGGAGGAGGCATTTGAACATGATTAGCTCTTTAGTGGAAAAATCATGCTGCCATCTGAAATATTGCGTAACTAGCCTAGGGCATTTTTAGACAAATTTAACCAAGGTGGCCGTTCTCCCAATTTCAGATGAATTTCGATTTTCAAGTATTAAATAATATTTAATTAGTAAAAATTACATTTTATAAGTAAAAATTAATTCTTAATTATCAATTTTAATATTCATGAATTAAAAAAAAAACTTGTGTTTTAACATGACTAAATTGCTAATTTACATTATTGAATTTTCGATTTAAGAAATGTGAGTATCCTTCTCTGTTCCCTTTATTACATTGATATATACCCTACTAGGCTGCAAAAACCTAGGAGGCCAGAACACATGCTACGGGGCTAGAATTTTAAACTCTTTTGCTAAGTATTAATTAATATTTCATGTTCCTGGAATATATATATATATATATATATATATATATATACCAAAATAGTATAATAAAATATATACAACAC